CCAATAGCTAGTTGAGGTTGGCTCCAAAAATGAGTCAATCGAGACAGAAATAAGAACACTCAGAGAACATAACTCCCCCCAAAGGGCAAAGGCTATGCAAAAACATTGATGTTATTTAAAAATCTATTTTAACCCTGCTAACAATGAAGGTAAAGGTCAAAAGGTCAATTGCTTAACCAACCTAGGTACTCATTTGCCTCAATTATTGTTGTGAACTATGAAGACAACCCATAGAAAATTGTGGGTAATATAAAGGTTTTACTGATTGATCCTTGACACGATTTTCATCAAAATTAAATCCACTCAAGTTGTCACTGGTATCGATCATCACACAAAATTTGAAAATGATGTCTTGAAAACTGTGGATGCTAGACTGCGAACAAACAGACAGATGGAACCAAATACATACTTCCTCCCTTTGGGGGAAGAAAAAAAAGATTATTTGAACAACTAATAGGGTTGCAAATATTAAAAGGCAAGGAAGTTCAGAGAGGCAAGAAAAAATAAAACACAAACACATTTTACAGTCTTGAATAAAAAAAATTAAAATCAAGATTCATAAGACAATGCAAACAGCACAAAGTGTCATTTTTAAGTAAATGTTAAATTTAAACAAAGTAGTGACCATAAAATAACAGCAGTCTTAAATGATCCCAGGTATTCTATGAAGAAAACTATTACACATCACCTAAAGAACTCATTGAAAAATGTCTGTTGGGCTTGAATCACCACTGATTTCAGATCAGGTCACAGGTCTTGTTGTCTTGCACTATAAAGAAAAAAACATCTAAAAAGATTTCCTACAGTGACCTGACCCACAGTTAGACGCACGAGCACATTAAAGTCATTAAAGTGAGCAAGCTGCAGTTATTACCACGGGTCTAACAGAAAGTCTACACGTATCAATTACCAAATATCACTCACATAAGCCAAGTCAGCGTTTGAACTTTATGGCTTACTGTATATTTAGTCTGTCACGCTACAGTCTTTACTGAACAGCGTGTTTGTTTTTCCAGCCTTCTGTTTACTTGAACATCACGTCTTTGTGTGTGTACACAGGCCAACAAAACCCACCAGCCGCTGTGTATCTACATCATATTTGTGCTACACTGGAAAGAAAATTACCCAGAAAATAAAAGCCTCAAACATCAAATACATGGTTTGTAATCTCTCGCTTTCACACGGCAGTGCACAAAAAGGTGACTAGTCTAATACAATGAACCAAAGCAAACACAAAGTCCACAACGGATAAGAGGAGCTGTATTTAAGCAGCCATTAGCAGGTGTTTGACTTAAGGAAGCCATAAAGCAGTCCTGTCATATGGTATTTGCTCCCACACTGCTCAAAGGCTGGCTAGTTAAACAACCAGGAAAGGAAATGTCAATGTTTTTAGATGCAAGCGTGGAAAGAGGTTGAGACTGGCGGAAAACCACGTACCATGTTCTTACCACAAAACCAGTCCACAAGGCAGGATGGACATCCTGTGGGCAACAGAAATCATCACAGGATCAAATAACTAAGGACCAATTAGAAAAAAACAATAGTTTAGTCCTGTCATAAGTTTTCCTTACACAGGTAAAGCTGTATGTAAGTAGCCATAATACTGTCAGGCCACATAGTATTATCAAGTCAGTACAGTGCAAAGTCACCTGGGGATTCACATATTAAAACAAAGCATTTATTTTTGATGTATTAATCATAATTATTTGATATAAGTTACAAGTGCTGGAGCCTATACTATGATGTGCAAATTATGTATAATGCTAAAAGCTCTGTTAAAAGATGTCATCTCTTTATATTTCCAAGCTGGAGAGCAACTGTTCTCCAGACTTTCTGGAGGTCTTTCGAAGGTTTTCTTGGGACACTGGCTGCTTTTTCACTCCAGTAACTGCACCAGACCATTTTCAGGTTCATTTTTATTTTATGTCTGTTTGTTAATCTACTTAACACAAATCAATTATTCAATCTTAAAAAATGTGCCTAACTCAAGAGTTAAATCTGTGTTGTCACTGCAGACAACATAGAGAAAAAAAAAATTAGCCTGTGTCCCTATGACAAATGCCAAATATAACACAGTTTGACATAAAAATGAATTCTTTCACCAACAAGGTGTTTTCCCAAAGAGCTATTAGCTGAAAACATGCCATATCTTAGCATGGTGTGCAGTTTGTCCTTTAAAATTTTAGAGAACTGAAAAAGTGGAGGACAAAAAAAAGACATGACAGGCTTTAAAAAAAAATAAATAAAAAAATTCTATCTACAGCAGCAGAATAGGGTCTGGAAGTCCTGTCCTGAAGAAACAGGAGGGGGGAAAGCAGTAAAGACCTCACACAGGATCTAAGAGATGCATGTGCCCCTTCAGTTCATCCATTTGCTGTTCACTGAAGGTCTTCAGAAATGGTCTCAGTGGAAGGGTGGCTTTCAAGAAGCCATTCTTTAGAAAGGGAAACAGGAATAAAGGCAGAGATTTCCCAAATTACTCAACAACTAAACTGAAAATCAGTGGAATCAAATTTAAAGTTTTGGTTGAAATCTTTGTTCATATGTATGAAGGTCAAGAGAGACACTGAACAGAGAACAAAACTAAAGTCAGTCAAGAGAAGAGCTTTGAATGTCCTTAAAGAAGCCTGGAGAACTATTCCTGAATACTCCTTGAAGAAATGACAAGATCGCTTGCCTAAGAGAGCTTTGATAACATTATACAATCTCTGTTTTTGCCTTATTTACTGTATTTGAATGCATGTTTAATTCAATAAATCGCTGCACCTATTCCCCATTTTCCTGGCAAAATATAAAGAACTGAAGGGTGGCTAAAGCCTTTTGCACACTTCTATACACTCACTTGAGTTTCCTGTTCACCAATTTATTTTTACACACCAAATGTTGTTAGAAACACTAACTATCAGTAGCCAGAAAATTTAAAATCCTATATCAAGAGCCTCCTGATGAAAGGGAACAAAATCATGTTTAGTTGAGCAGCCACTGTTTGTAACGTCGTGTTTTGTGTTAAACAAAAAACAACAACAAAGAAACCCCCCAAAAAGGCTCATATTCCATCAGCAAGTTTTAGTAACCAAATTGCCCTCCATAGTCAATTTGCCAAGTGCACATTAGCCATCACCACACATACTTTTCAGCTTCATTTCCTGTGAAGTGAAAATAAGGCAATTTCAATCTAATGACAGCTCATCATCCAGGCAGAAAAGTAGTTCATCAAATCAGTGACCTCATCATCCTGGTTGTCCAGGCATTCACTGTGAAATGATACCGCTGAGGCAGCAGGGCATCATGGGAGGCACAAGCTGTCTAATGTCAGCGGCGGTGAACGAGCAGGCAGCATTAAACCTCCATAAATGGATGACTGTCACACTCGTTTCACTCCCGGGTCATTTCAGGTCAAGCGAGTAACGTGCAGAAAGGAAAATGGATCATAAAGGCCAGATGAACATTTTAAGGTAATAATAGCAGATCAGATTTAGCCTAAAGGAGAATGAAACCCACATCTCAAGCATATCAGAAGCACACACTCCTCACTGATCTGCAATTAGAAATACTGGCTGTGCCTTCTAAAGCGGTTTAGTTCCATCTGCTGTTCAGACTGTAAACTACAGTTAAGTAAGCATTCAGTGCAGTGAAATGAAAGAAGCCTTTTAAACAGCAGTATAAGAAAATAAAATGATTAATAAGGAAGAAAAGAATCAACTGTGCTCCATAAAGATGTCAAGCTTTAACATTTTGCAATCAATGACACGCTGCTCTCATAACCTAATCTGTCATCTGAAAATTCAGTTATACTCCGGTTGCACCGACTTTGCCAACGCAGTTAATAAATATTGATGGAATTTTATACATCCCAAAATGCAAGCAGAGCCTCAGTCCACGGGATTTTTTTCCTCTCAGAGGTGAGGACAGAGCTGCTAGTGTGTACGTCTAGCTGGTAGTTTGGTTTGACATTTTTCACCTGCTGACAGGCCAAAAATGTTGCACAAACAAGCATAAAGTGTCTACTTGTCAGCAAGGCAATCTGTGTGCCGAGTCTAAAAGGAAGTCTTGAACTCAAGCTGAGAAGCTGTCAGGGAAATATATGTTTGAGTTTTAGCTTATGCAATCTCTCTTTACACAAGTTAATAACAGTTAGTCCCCCACCTTTAAGAATAATCAAAAGGATCATTCTCAGTAACTTCTTCATTCACACTAACCTGTAGCCATCACTATTATTTTTCTTGTTAATTTAATCACATTAAACAAAAATACTAAATACAACAATGAACTATGCTCACTGGCCACTTCATTAGGTTTAGCTGCTCATTAATGCAATCAGCCAATGGCAGTAACTCAAAGCATTTAAACACACAGGCTAACTCAAGTTTAAACGGAGCACTGTACGGGGGAATAAAGGGGATTTAAGTGACTTTGACATGATTGTTGGTGCCAGATGGGCTTGTCTGTGTTTTTCAAAAGCTGTTGACAATCCTCTCTAGGCTTTACAGAGAATGGGCAGACTGCTTCAAGCTGATTAGAAGGCAAATACTCAAGCATTCGTTACAAGCAAGTCATGCAGAGGAGCATCTCTGGATGGATAACACATCAAACTTAAGCAGATGGGCTACCAGAAGACTCTAACCCCAAGAAAAGGAAACTGAGGCAACAACGTGCACAGGCTTTTAAACACCACAGCCTGAGTAACATGAGTATTGTTGTTGACCGTGTCCATCAGTATGACCACAGTGTACCCACATTCACATCAACTGACAAATCTGCAACAACTGTGCGATGATGTCATGTCAAGATGGACCAAAACCTGCAGGAATGTTTCCAGCACCTTGTTTTATCTTTGCCATGATGAACTAAGAGAGTTTGGGAGGTAAGTGAAGTCAATCCCAGGACTAGAAAGGTTAAGACCAAAGTCAGTTTAATCCATTCGCTCTTTGGTGATTGAGGACCCAAAAAAAAAAACAAAAAAAAAAAACAAAAAACATAATGAGGCTTGATGTTGGTGTTTGAATAAATTTAATGGCACCAGAAAGAGCAGTGTGCTACATGTCTTAGGAGATGTTTCAATAAGCCAAAGTAAAAAGTTGCATGACACCTATTTACATGGAGGCCAGGGATCGAGTTCAAAACCTACATAATAGTGTAATATTTACAGTTTCAATTCTACACAGTATATTCTAAAATTTGTTTTTTTAATAATCAGCATTATGCTTAGTCTGGCATTTGATCAATCAATGACCTTTGAAAAGAAAAACAATGACATAGGAGAAGAAAAAAAAAAAAGCAAAAAAAAAAAGCACAACAGGTCTATAGAGACATGTGGTCGTCTTTGGATAGTACAAAGCATTCAAAAGCATAAAAGGTTCCATTTGTAGAGTGTTTATAAGTTTGTTCATGTTTTTAAGGAGAAATATTTCCAGAATTCAAAAAGTAACACAAATACAGCAATTACAACTTAAATATTGCTCTTGTTCTGAAAAAATGATAATTCCACCAGAATAATTCCTAATATGATTTGATAGAATTAAAAAACAAAAAAAACAAAACAAACAAAAGACCCAACTTGGTATCCAAAAGATGCATAGTTTCCCTTCAATTTCCTCACAATTACCCATTCTTGTATGTTAAAAGCAAGATGAAAATTTTGAGGGCAATTTAAGGCTTTCTGCGTCTGGAAGAAAGAAAACAAAGACAACCAAGAACAGAGTTTAGTTTGAACTGAAAACCAAAATCTAAAGTACATAAAACAAACACATGTTTTGTGCTTACTTTTGATACCCATGGGATGAATTTGTGCTAGCCGCTGGAGCCTAGGGAGGGAAAGTTTGAACAGGGATTAGAAAGCATAGGTAAAGTTTTGCTCGTGGCTGTATTTACGCTTTTTAAGAGCTTACCCTGTTTTCTATGTCCTCCCCTTCAGCTGGTCCTTCTGCAGATCCTGATCGCCTTTTGCGACTGAAACAAAGAGCGTTGGTTTTAAGTCAGTTCTCTTATAAAGTAAGGATTCAAACCTTTCCCAGTCTCTATTTGGGAACATTTAATAACTTGTATTTGATTAGCATTAATAAGTGCTATGTTTTGGTATTATAGTCATATTTCTCTGTGCACACAGAAATATATCACATTTCTGTACATAATACTGTACCTTGGTGCTAACGGGCACACTTGTTTGAGCGTCTCAATGTCTGTAAATTGCACAGCTTGTCCGCCACTTCTGGTCTTAAACACATCACCCTGGTGAGGTTTAAACAACAAGAACAACAAAAAAAAAAGAAGGAAAAAAAAAGGAAAGAGGAGGAAGAAAGTGTTATCAGAATTAAATCTGTAAGTAAATAGGAAGGAGCGTCCCACTAAAACACTGTAATCAAGTGAAATTCATGCAACATCTAAAATGATCAAAATCAAACACCAAAAATTAGTCACATTTTTTGATTTTACCTTAATCAGTTTGGTTTCGATCTCCCCGTCAGAGGCAAGCTCTTGATGTCTAAGCACATACTTGTGGCATTTAGACAGAGCCTTCTCGCTTGGGGTGGACACCTTGATTGCATTGGGTATGATTGGCTGCATGACAGTGTCTAACTCCAAATTAGAAGGTGGTTTGTGGTCTACCCATTTCTCCCCACCGGCAGAGTGTGAACGCCTGTGTTTTGGATGAACTGGAAGAGCCTTCTGGTGATCCCAATGTGAGAAAGACAAACCAGGAAGTTATTCACATGTGACTCCAATCAAACTATGTCGAGGTTAGTAGGGAAGGTGAAACGCTAGGTGTTAGCTTGTTAGGAAAATAAATGTATTACTGGAAGTCACAGGAAGTTGATGCATTATAGACTTTATTTCTGGAAATTTCTAATCAAAGTTTAATAGTTTATTTAAAAGTTTAACTGTCTTCCAGCAATACACATTGTCAAAGGGTGTTTTCACACCTGCAGTGTTT